CCAAATAAAAAAATAGTGTGTGATAAGGCACAATTTGGATTATAGATTATAAACACAAGGTAATAAGACCTAATCCAAATAAATAAATAGTGTGTGATAAGGCACAATTTGGAATATATTTAATACAGTTATCAGCGTCATGCACAATTCTGTCACGTTAAGTCACGTGTCAAGTTACGGTAAGTAGAAATTTAAAAATTAAAAAAAGATGCCGAAACCCGGGATCGAACCAGGGACCTTTAGATATTCAGTCTAACGCTCTCCTAACTGAGCTATTTCGGCTTATTTTATTTATTTCTATAGAAGCTTCTATCTTTATAATTATGTATATTTTCAAAAAGTCAATTCGCTCGCGCCTCTAGCGGTGAAAATGAGGGGTAATACCAGCTGACCTAATGTACATGTAAAGTTTGGAGCGGGACGTTTCACAAGAGTGACATCCACGGCTCCAATTTATAATTGTAACAAATAGTATTTGAATAAAAACATTCAATCGGGTAAAACACGGGCGTTGCCCGGGTCATTCGGCTAGTATATATATTAAATTGAATGTCTTTCTGTGTGTACTCTATAGATTCAAAAACAATACATCCAATCGCCGTGAAATTTTGCGATATTATTAGGTATATCCCTGGGAAGGTTTTTGAAAAATAATTTCTTGAATATCTTGAATATCCTTAGAGTTATTTGCAGATTTGTAGATTTAACTAAATGATGATGATTATTTATCAAAAGTAAATGGTTGTGTTTACAAACAATATGTGTATTCAATATGGTGGTCAATAGTCAAATAATCTGGTTTTTTTCAAATTAAATAATACAATTTTTTTAATTATATAAAAATTTATTTAGTAAACAAAATATTGATTTTTTGAAAATTGCTATTTTTTTAGTAGTATAAAAATTTTAAATATATAAGATTTTTTTTTTTGTGATTTTTAGTAAACAAAAAATATTAGAAAAATATATTTAGCTTTATATATCTTTTGCAATATTATTTGCCCCCCAATGCATTTTATTAAAATTAGAAAATTGAAAATTTACATATTCCTATTAATCTCAAGAAAATTTTCAGAATTGAAATATTTATATGGAATATTAAAGAAGCTGTGATTTTTTAAATATATCACAGAATTATTATTCAGTGAGCTCTCTATACTAAAAGGAATAAGAACAATTTGTTTTATGTGGAATAGAAATTTTAGACCTTGCTAAATTTTTCAAATCTATATAGTTTGTGTGTTTTTAATTATTTTTGATATTATTCTGATATTCTGAATATTATTGATTTCTAGCTGAAGAAAATAATTGGAATAACGTTTTATTTAACCCCACAATTATGCCACCAAAGCGAAGTGCCATTGGTCGATCTACAAATCAAGCAAAAAGGAGAAGAGAATACCGAGCTTCAGAAACAAGAGAGCAGAGACAAGCTAGGCAAGAAAGAAATCGAGTTCACACTGCTCTTGCTCGATCATTAGAAACGAGTGAACAGATTCAAGCAAGGCAAGAAAGAGATCGAGTTCACACTGCTCTTGCTCGATCATTAGAAACGAGTGAACAGAGTCAAGCAAGGCAAGAAAGAGATCGAATTCGCAGGACACAGACAAGGCGAACGATGCATACTGATTTGAATTTATGTGGCTTCATTTACAATCCCTATTACAATTACAGTCTTCATCCAAGTGTAATTATTGGAAAAATGGATAAAAAGTGTACGTATATATATATATATATATATATATATATATATATATTGTGGTGCTCAAAAATTTAAAAATGAAACACCAGGTATGTGCTGTGCAGGTGGAAAAGTAAAGTTACCAAACTTGCGTTCACCACCTGAACCATTATTAACTTTAGTATCAGGTGAAACAAGTCAATCAAAACATTTTTTGAAAAATATACGCAAGTACAATTCATGCTTCCAAATGACATCGTTCGGAGCAACGAATATCGTTAGCGCAAATTATATGCCAACATTTAAAGTACAAGGGCAAATTTATCACCATGCTGGATCACTACTACCCTTGCCAAATGCTGAGCACAAATATCTTCAGATATATTTCATGGGAAATACTGATGAACAAATCAACAGACGGTGTCAACTGAATGTGAGTACTAAACGAGAGATTGTCGCTGAATTACAAAATTTGTTTGAACAACATAATGAATTAATTAAATTATTTAAAACCGCCATTGAACAAATGCCATCTGACGATTACAAAGTAATAATAAAGGCAGATAAAACACCTATTGGTCAACATAGGAGACAATTCAACGCACCAACGATCGATGAAGTGGCAATTGTCATAGTTGGTGAAGAATTTAATTCTCGCGATATCATTCTTCATCGTAGAAATGGTGGCGTCCAGAAAGTATCAGAAACGCATCGTTCATATGATGCATTACAATATCCCATTCTATTTTGGCAAGGAGAGGATGGATATCATTTTAATATTAATATGAGAAATCCCACAACTAATGTGGACATTAACAAAAAGGTCAGTGCTATGAATTATTATGCATATCGAATGATGAATCGTGAGAATGCTGATAATCATATATTGAAATGTAGACAATTATTTCATCAATACATTGTTGACATGTATGCAAAAATAGAAAGTGAAAGGCTCCTCTACATACGACTAAATCAAGTCAAATTGCGTTCTGAAGAGTACATCCATTTACGTGATGCAGTTGTAAATGATGGCAATCTCAGGGAATTGGGAAAAATGGTCATTTTACCATCCACATTTACAGGCAGTCCAAGACACATGCATGAATATGCACAAGATGCAATGACGTATGTTCGTGCATATGGTCGTCCAGATTTTTTCATCACATTTACATGCAACCCAGCATGGGATGAAATAAAGGAGCTTTTATTAACTGGACAATCACCATCAGATCGTCATGATATTTCCGCACGTGTATTTAAACAAAAATTAAAATCTTTACTAGATTTTATTGTCAAACACCATGTATTTGGAGAGACGCGCTGTTGGATGTATTCCATTGAATGGCAAAAAAGAGGTTTACCACATGCGAATATTTTAATATGGATGATGGAAAAGATAACACCAAGCAGAATTGATGAAATTATCTCTGCAGAAATACCAAACATTAAAATTGATGAAGACTTGCACGATATTGTCTCAAAAAATATGATTCATGGTCCATGTGGCTCACTAAATAATAATTCACCATGCATGTCAGATGGAAAGTGCACAAAGCGGTATCCTAGAGACTTACTTGCTGAAACTATTACAGGCAATGATGGATATCCACTCTATCGACGACGATCTACCGAAGATGGTGGAAAATCCTTTAAACTAAAAGTACTCAACAATACTATTGATGTTGATAATCGTTGGGTAGTACCATATTCTCCATTACTACTAAAAACGTATAACGCACACATAAATGTTGAGTTCTGCAACTCAGTGAAAGCTATAAAATATATTTGCAAATATGTGAACAAAGGAAGCGATATGGCAGTGTTTGGAGTGGAAAATACAACTGCATCTAATGATGAAGTCACCCAATATCAACTGGGACGCTACATAAGTAGCAATGAGGCTGTATGGCGTATTTTATCATTTTCCATTCATGAGCGATATCCAACGGTTGTTCATTTAGCAGTACATATTGAAAATGGACAGCGTGTGTATTTTACATCATAAAATGTACGTGCAAGAGCAATGTCACCACCGCCAACAACATTAACTGAATTTTTCACATTATGTAGAAATGTTACCTTTGCAAGGACACTACTGTACTCTGAAGTACCAACTTATTTTACGTGGAATACATCAACAAGAAAATTTCAGCGTCGTAAACAAGGTAGAACAGTACAAGGACACCTCAATTTATATTCCACAGATGCATTGGGTCGTCTGTACACTGTACATCCAAATAACGCAGAATGCTTTTACCTAAGATTATTATTAATCAATGTTCGTGGACCAACATCTTTCCAAGATTTAAAAACAGTCAATGGCCATGTGTTACATCAAAAATATACAATGAAGCATTGATTTTAATTGAGGATGGGTGTTTGACAATAGCCAACAAATCACTGACAGAATTGGGAATGATTGCTCCAAATAGATCTGGTATTGACATTTTAGATCGTGATATACAACAAGAAACGCACTTCGATGCTAATGAATTACAAGCATTTGTTCGAATTGATCTGCCGAAATTGGTATTAGAGCAACGAACAGCATATGACACAATTATAAATGCAATATCTAACAAGAGTTGTGGTTTATATTTCTTAGATGCACCTGGAGGCACTGGAAAAACTTTTCTTATTTCAATTATTCTGGCAACTATAAGATCACAAAATAATATTGCACTTGCTATTGCATCATCTGGTATTGCAGCAACTCTTTTGGACGGTGGTCGAACAGCACATTCAGCGTTGAAATTGCCATTAAATATGCAGGTAATTGAAACTCCAACATGTAATATTAGCAAAAATTCTGGGATGGGAAAAGTACTAAGATCATGTCAGTTTATAATATGGGATGAATGCACCATGGCACACAAGAAATCTTTGGAAGCACTCAATCGTACTTTAAAAGATTTGAGAGGAAATGAGCAGCTCTTCGGTGGTGCACTCATTTTGCTAGCTGGTGATTTTCGACAAACTCTACCAGTTATACCACGTTCAACACCTGCAGATGAATTGAATGCATGTCTAAAATCATCAGTGTTATGGCGGTATGTGGAGAAAATATCTTTAAAGACCAATATGCGTGTTCAATTACAACAAGATGAATCTTCTGAACGATTTGCAAAACAATTGTTAGATATTGTGAATGGTAAAATGGAAATGGACGAATCCACACACTGTATTACATTACCAGAAAACTTTTGTCACTTTGTAAAATCCACTGATGAATTGATTGCCAAAGTTTTTCCAAATTTATCGCAGAATTATAAAAATAATCATTGGGTTAGTGAGCGTGCTATATTGTCAGCCAAAAAAATTGATGTGAATTTAATTAACTGCACAATTCAAAATAAAATACCTGAAGAAGAAACAACATATAAATCCATAGATACTGTTGTCAATCCCGATGAATCAGTTAATTATCCAATAGAATTTTTAAATTCATTGGATCTACCAGGAATGCCACCGTATATTTTATCTTTGAAAATTGGTTCCCCAATCATCCTTCTACGAAATATAAATCCACCGCGACTATGCAATGGGACTAGGCTATCAGTAAAAAAATTAATGAATAACATTATTGAGGCAACCATTTTAAATGGAAAATATCAAGGGGAACATGTACTACTACCACGCATTCCCATGATACCAACGGATACTCCATTTGAATTCAAACGTTTACAGTTTCCTGTACGATTAGCCTTTGCAATGACCATTAACAAAGCACAGGGACAATCATTGCAAGTATGTGGATTAAATTTGATAAATCCATGCTTCTCACATGGACAGCTGTACGTTGGGTGTTCACGAGTTGGAAAACCATCAAATTTATTTGTTCTTGCACCAAATAGGAAAACAAAAAATGTTGTATAATTACAAGCACTACTAAGATAAAGTTCACCATCAATCATCAAGGAAATATTGGACATATTTTATGGTTGTAAACAATATATAGGTGTATTTGTGTGTATATATGTATATATTTTTAAATTTAATGATGTAACTGTAAATAAATTTCAAAGAATATCTCTATATGTAAATAATATTTTTGAATCTTTCTAAGTCGCTTTCAGTGTATCTTTCCATGTTGAATATTTTCTTTTTTATATTTGTATATACATTTAGCGCAAGTGTCCCTAGGGGGACATAGCGTTTTGAATTGAAATAAATAAATAAATCATCAAATTTCATTCATTTCATGATAATATTTAATAATTACAAAATTGTTGTTCAATTGAAATTCGTTTGCAATACTGTTTAATATCACAAATGAAGAAACATGTTTATTCTACCATTAACTATGTATATCTATGTTTTGTACATATGTTATATTCAAATGACTTATATATAGGGATAATTTCATTATTAATTTTCATTTTGATGTATTGTATACATTTTATCATTAATAAATTATGTTTGAGGTATCAAAACTGCCTTTTTGTACAAACACAGCAACGTGTGAACGGGTACAGCTTATCTTTATAAAAAAGTTTAAGTAGAGAGTGGATGTATGCTCGAAAAATAATTTTTTTCAAGTACTGGTTAGGTAAACTTTCACTAGGGTAAAACCCGGGCGAAGCCGGGTACATCCGCTAGTTATATATATATATGTAATCTCTATATATATAAAGGCCAAGATATGTAAATATATATAGGTAAAAACTTCATAATAATTATATATATATGTAATCTCTATATATATAAAGGTCTCAAGATATGTAAATATATATAGGTAAAAACTTCATAATAATGCTTTGAACTGGCTGTCGTTCTAGACCCGTTCCTAGAACTGACTAAAGTTCTATCTCTATATATATAAAAGTCAATGTCTGTCTGTTTCGCGATAAACTCAAAAACTACTGAACCAATTGGTACCAAATTTTGCATGTCGCTTTTTATAAATCTGAGGAAATTTTTCGGCTACATTTTGATTAGTATTTTTGGCTATTTCTTTTTTTTTCATTTGAAGAACTTTTTTTTTTTACGCGGAGTAATCCGGAATGGAATGAATACCCAAATATGGCCATTTTTTATACGCATCGGTGGTTCAGTGGTAGAATGCTCGCCTGCCACGCGGGCGGCCCGGGTTCGATTCCCGGCCGATGCATTTTTTTTTTTCAATTTTTAAAACTCATTTATATTATATACTAGACGTATGACCCGGCTTCGCTCGAGAATCCCCCGAATGAAATTTCCTTCATACTGAAAGTACATCAATAATAAATATTAGAAGTGCCATAGAATAGCAATACAGAAGTAACACATAAACTACAGGAAAAAAGTGTGTGTGATGGCAAAAATTGTATTATATTAGTGTTTAGGTATTTGATTTAATGAGTTTTAAAAATTGTAAAGAAAAAATGCATCGGCCGGGAATCGAACCCGGGCCGCCCGCGTGGCAGGCGAGCATTCTACCACTGAACCACCGATTCTTATAAAAAAATTGCCATATTTGGGTATTCATTCCATTCCGGATTACTCCGCGTAAAAAAAAAGTTTTTCAAATGAAAAAAAGAAATAGCCATCGGGGGAATTCTCGGGCGAAGCCGGGTCATACGTCTAGTTATTTATATAAAAGAAATGCTTAATGAGAAAAGATGAAATATTTTAACTTCTCTACGAAAATTAACTAATTACAATCATTAAGAAATTCACATAAACATGGCTGAACTTTAATATATATATACAGTTAAACTTGTCTATAGCGCCCCCTCTAAATAGCGCCCGATTTTAAATACGTAGTACGATGCGATTTACATTAAAAGTGACCTGTCTATAGCACCCTATTTTGGTGAGTCCCAAGAGGGGGGCGCTATAGACAGGTTTAACTATATATACTATGTTTTAAAAGGCAGAAAAATATGTAAATTTTAAATTCGTAAAACAAATTTTCAGTAGTTACGCTATTTTACTGTTAAGGGCAGCACTTGAAGGCTAATAAATATATACATATATTATTGATTAATCTTATTTGCACATTTTGGGAAATCAAATTTATTTCACTGGTTTGACGCCCTCTCTTTCTCTCTATTCAAGCATAGCAACATACACAATACACGTGTATAGACAATCTATTTTTCTTAAAATACGCGATTTAGTTATTTTTAAACCTGGAATTAGGACTTTACAAAATCGAGAAATAGCAAAAAAGTAAAATTGAACTGGGATTAGTTGATATTCGTAACGAGAGTCGGCGGAACGCATCAGTAGCTCTTAGTTGCACAATCTGGAGATGCCGTTCTCTAATATTTTTAATCGGTTAAAATAATATTGTTGATGGATAAAGAGGTATAAAGGGACCATTTTATCAAGGAACTACCATGAGAGGCCATAGGAGGCTTGCGTGATAGCTGCAGGACCTTGACATCACGGGGCCATATCTGCGAGGGCCACAGTAATGACCTTAAGTCAAGACTGCAATTGTAAATATCGTTGTTTTCTTTTACTGTAATTATTTTAATATTGTAAATATGTAAATAGGCCATTCAATATATACATTATTTAGAGAAAAAGTTGTAACCTAATGGAAAATAATGTTTACACTCATAAACAAAACTTAAGGAAGTTGTACCTTTTAGCATGTATATCGGTGTTAAGACAATAACTCTGAAAGATATTTGATACACAGTGACCTTTATTGAAGACACACGAGATAACCAAGTGTGAACAAAATTGCCTCTGTCTTAGCAAAAACAGGCCGCCGACGACACCAAAATCTTTCCGATCCCTTAAGTGTTGTCCATGAGAGCATTTTTATTATCATACCAAGTTGTCGTTGGTCAACCACAAACCTGGGTGAATCCGTATTGAAATATTGACTTAATTTGAACAAGCCCATCCCCACCAATTATTTCAAGTAACCAAATGGAACCCAGGAATCTTGTAGATGCAAAGTTGAACTGAGTCTACACGTGTGATGCGCTTACAGTACCACAAGTCACAACCGTCTATCTTCTATAATCATAAATACCTAAACAGACTTTCTAGGTTATGTAGACACGCATAAGCTTTTTAAAATGCATTTAGTCTTATATATGGATTTAATCCATAAGTCCGAAATGTAAATATATAAACAACATCTATTCATCTCTCTCTCTATATATATAAGTCAATGTATATTCATATATGTTTGTCGGCTATGCACTTCCTCAATATATAACTAATCTCGCTGAAATTTTAACAGGGCATAAATTTTAGTCTGGAAGATTTTTGTCGCATTTTAACCAATAAATATTTTAAATTAACCAAGTACTGAACAAAAATATTTTTAGTCAGAAAATGATGATGACAATATTGCTGTATCATGTTTGATTGTCAGAAACAAAATTATTTCGGGGAATATTCACTAAAATAGACCACGGGCGAAGCCAGATCATCATTTTTAGTAGGCAGGAACAAGATTCTACCAGCGAAACATTCACTCGAGCAAAAGACAGACGAAGCCAGGTCATCTCTATATATAAAATATCGTTTCTCGGCCTTTTGGCTAAGATCGTGTAGTATATCTCTATACATATTTATTTATATATATATATTTTTTAATATATTCAGTAGAGAGAGTGGTATGTTTGCTCGAAAAATATATTTTATATATTATATAGATATATAAAATAACGAATATTATTATCATTATTATCATAATATTCTGTGTGTTCCTGAATATTATGATCAATAATATTCGTTAGGCAAACTTTCACTCGGATAAAACCCGGGCGAAGCCGGGTACATCCACGCTAGTGTATAGCGAATGCTGTGTGTATGTAAAAATTGGCTCGCCTGCTACAATCTCCTTCGTTCAGGCCGAAGAACAGGTCTGAATTGCGGAGTTGTGAATATGTGCATGGGTCAATATGAGCCGTATTCTTCCACAAGCTTCAACTACTAAAAATCCTCAGCATAATCCATAACAGTATCTCTAAAGTTCTGAATAGCTTTCGATAGAAAATTGCCAAAGTATCTTCGTTTCTGCTAAAAGTCTATTGATTGGGATTGAAAGATTTGAATGCAGGTAGTCCTTATAAACAGGATTATTACTACATGTACTATCTTAGATAATATCAATCCTTATCATCATCTTGTTTCAAATAAAGAGCTCGATTTCGAAAAGCTTAGTCCTCCAGGATCCTTCCAACATGGCTGATTAGCGTGAATGTGTCAGACAATAACATCACCGGCTCAATTTCGTGTAAGGCTGGTGGCAAGAAAGAGAGACGACCTAAGAAAAGAATTGTCATAAAGAAGAAAGTAAATGGTGGGAAAGAGTAGTGAATCACGACATTTAAAGTGCGAAGACTTCGTCCATGGTTTTGGACCAAAGAAAGTGACATCAAGTCTGCTATGAAGTTGAATCGGTCCACGTGCTGCCAACGTACTACGGACCCGGCATTAAATTGAAGAGCTTTGTGATAGTCCAATAAAACTTCAAATGGCCACACGTGAAGAATTTTAGATTATTGTGGACAATTGTCAGAACGGTGATTTCTATATATGAAGTGTGTCGCACAAATTCAAATAAAACATGAAATCTTTAGAAATGCATTTTCAAATATCTTTCAGAGATATTGTCTGAATCTCGATATACATGATAAAAGGTACAACTTATTTTTGTCTATGAATTTAATTGTAATTTTTGATAATTCACTATAACCTCACAGTTGAAATTTGAAAGTAGGAAATACGATTGTTGACCTCGAGAGAAATTACATCCACACTGGATTTTATAAATACCATTATTGACCGTTTAAAAAACTTGTGTTTATAGAGCATAGATGGTTAACTCAAATTTTACTAAAATATGATTTCGGACTTTGACTTCGCTATTAAAAAATGCCTATAATTCCACGGGAGCCAACAAGAATAAACATGATACAAATTGAATTATTACCAAAATGATCATAAAGTAGCCTACATCACCGAACACTAAATACGTGGTATATATGGTAGAATGCAGTGAAACCTACTACGAGTGACTTTTTCTGGTAAAAAAAACCTTTGTTAAATGACGATTGAGAAACCTCTAAATAGAGACCACCCTCAGGAGAGACCAGCAGTACCAATGTTTTAAAGAAGTCTCCATGGTTTAGTGACTTTGATGGTTTTATCAATCGAACCAAAGTATTCGCTCGCAACACAAGACAGAGTTTGTTCCAAGCGATGTACAAGATCTTCCAGCTAACGTTGGAGTCCAAGTATACGCCGACCATTACGTCATAGCAACGTGGTCGCTAAAATTAACCCATCACGTGACTTGGAGTGACTGAAGTTAACCTTGAATCCTATTGAACAACACGCAGGATGTCGTCTGTGGACTTGTCTTATATCAGAGAGAGGTGTGCCTGTAATTACACTACTCCGTTCAACGAATGGATTTTGATGGTTAACTAGTTGTAAACATTTTAGATATATAATAAAATTCAAGAATGTTATTAATAAATATTTACGCGTATATAATCTTATTTCATATTTTTAATACAATAGTTCATTAGTCGATAAAGTAACGTTATTTATAGTAATATAACTTTATTCGCGATCGAACGTTGTGGCCCATTGTATGTATTACATCCCAAACACGATGTGACTCCAGTCATCTCTGTCTTGAGCTCGATGTACCATCTCGGTGACCGTCAAGCCAGTAAATTCCTTTAATTGTTATTTATATCAAAATGATATCATTTTAGATAAGCTTTTATTGTATTATGGTGGAAGGATGTATACTGAAAAATGGTCGCCACCTAATCATAAAGAATTCCTATCACGGATATAACATCAAAGAATCTAAGAATTCCTGTTCCATGAAAGGAATAAAGAATGACTTTGTAAATCGGGCGGATTGCCTTCTCCTGTTATCCTCAATTCCCCAAATAGGAAGATTGGAACATCGAGATGGTAAATGGAAAAATTGTGCTATTAGAGGGCTTTCATTTCTTATATTGAAATGTTGAGCTTTAGGACATTGCTCTCTCTCTCTCTCTATATATATATTTTTTTTTTTGGGGGAAAGAGACGAAAACAATACATGTTTTCTATATTTTAGAACTATAAAACTTTTGATAAAATATTTGTGATACAAAAAGTACACAGATAGAGTAATTTGAGAAAGTTACTATTTAATATATAAATAAAATAATAACACATAGTAAATAAAGCCGTGAAAATATGTTCAACTGATCAGAATTTTTTAGAAGTTTCATAAAATTCCATGAAATGTGTACCCATCTCCCCAGTTACAAATTTAGAATAACGTTATAAAATAAATAGTTGCTGTTAATTATTGTGTGTTTTACAACTTCAAGGCATAAAAGTCATCAATTTCTGGATTTTTTTAAATGGATAATTCCGTTAAATGCCGGCGGCGATTTTTTAAAGGACATTCACTAATTTGGTTTCGACCCATTATTTACATATTTGCTATCACGCCAACCACTTTCAAATTGTTTTAAATCTTGTGAGTCGAATGGACCTTCTACGGTATCCATAACATACTCAATTCAATAATACTCACCTGACCATGTTTTGGTATAACTAGAGCTATGGTGTCAGAACATGCTGGGATAGGAAACTTGACCCACTCGAATTGAAATTATTCAACACGATACAGGTTCAACATTTTCACTTTTCTTATTTACCATCTCGTTTGCAAGAGTTTATAATATAATGGAAGGAATTATGGTTTTATTGAACAACCAAAAGGTTTCCAAGCATCCAGCAAAAATTCGCACAACCCCAGAACATAATTCCATAAAGGCATTTAACGCTTTTTGTGAGTTGCCCGGACATCCTTGCAACCCTCTACTTAGTCTAGCCATAAATATTGTTACAAAACCAAATCAGTGATAAAAAATTTTAATTTGACCGCGTGAAGTATTCAAAATATAGTAGTTGTTATTTGAATTTCTCGTGCACACGTGTTTAGAAAAAAATCGGAATATATTTGTTTTTTGATAATGGATTGGGGTGTTAAAGAAAACCGTATAGCTGTAATAGCCTTACACGCCGCAAACAAAATATCTTAGCAAAGCAGATGAATTTAGCTCCAAGAACCGTTTCCAGGATAATCAACGAAGACCTTGGACTGAGAGCTTTCAAACGACGCACAGGTCATTTTATAACCCCTGCTCTTAGAGATATTAGAAGGGTTAGATAAAAATGTTGTTTGCGCGGCATGATGGTCGGTGGCATGAGAGAATCCTTTTCACAGACGAGAAAATTTTCACTGTCGAGGAAAAGATTAATCGCCAGAATGATAGGATATATGCTTGTGGCTCTCTAGAAGCTTCTTTGAAAGTCAGAAGACTTCAAAAAGGTCACCATTCTTCTTCTGTCATGGTTTGGTGGGGAGTTAACTACCAAGGTGTAACAGATCTCCACTTCTGTGCCAAAGGGGTAAAAACTACAGCTAAAAACTATCAAGAAGATATTTTGGAACAAATAGTAAAACCTCTGAATACAAAAATGTTTAAGGAGAACAATGCATATTTCAACAAAATTCAGCTCCTGCTCACAAAGCTAAGTCAACTCAACAATGGTTGGAGCCGATTGTTCCGGAGTTCATAAAGGCCAATAAATGGCTCTCTGGAAGCCCTGATTTAAACCTCCTTGATTACAGTTTGTGGGCATATTTCGAGGAGAAGGTGTGCTCTAAAAGATATCATAATTTGGATCATTTGAAATCAGCATTGGTGAGAGCAATGAAAGAAATACCCTTAGAAAAGGTACGTGCCGCCATAGATCAGTGGCCCGAACGTTGTCAAAAATAAGGGAGGACATTTTGAATGATTGTATATATTTAAATCCTATGTCATATTGGCTAATAAAATATGTATTTATATTTTATTAGTTTTTTTCTTAATCATTTAATTTATAAAATTGTTTGTAACAGAATTTACGGTTAGACTGTGTATATAGCACACCTCAGTTGGCCGGTATAGTGATCAGGGTGCATGGACCGATCTGTTCCATGGACAAGACACCACCATCACCATGCTTTTTGTACGTTTAAGGTTGGATTACATTCGTGCCCCAGTTAATATGATTCTATCCGTCATACATTTATCTGTATATAAATATTTTACACCCTATAGAACAACCATATAACATATATAACCTTTTAACGTAAACCTTTGTAGATAGTTTGAGTGGCGTGTAGAGTTCACATAAATCGAATGGTGCACGCGAGAGAAATAAATTGTTGTTAACGTTGGATTTCTCGCTTTTTTTCGCCCTTACTCTTCCATGTGTGAACTATAAGGAATCAAAACTTTCTCTTCATTACAAAATATAACCTTTTTCTAGAAGCCAATGCGCCCATTTTTCAGGAATGTTCT